CGAGTAGCTGGGACTACAGGCATGCGCCACCATGCCCGGCTAGTTTATTCTATATATTTTTAGTTGGTCAATTCATTTCTTTCTATTTATGGTAGAGACGGGGGTCTCACTCTTGCTCAGGCTGGTCTCAAACTCTTGAGCTTGAGTGATCCTCCCGCCTCGGCCTCCCAGAGTGCTGGGATTTGCTGGATTTTTTTTAAACATTCTGTACGTGTTGAGCAAGCGGATAGCATTTTTCATTTATCTCCATGGTACTTTTCAAAACTTCAATGAATGGCAATATCTGCAAGGATGCCAACAAGGTGTTGACATGAAGGCAACAGCTCACGTTGGCTTGGTTAGGTGGTATGGGCATCTGTGCTACGTGCTTTCTGTTCATTGTCTCATTTTATTCTCAGAAAAATCCCCTGAGTGTGCACGATTATCATCTCTAATTTACAGACAAGGCATGAGGCTGTGGAGTTTTCTGTTTATTTGTTGCAAGGATGTTTCAGAACCGTGTTCTCCCAACTGTACAACGGGCTGTATCTCCCCAGTGAGGGTGAAGCACATTTAGAACAGCACCGTTAGAAAAAAAGGAAGATCAACCTTGAAGAAATGCCCATCTGATCGCAGGTGTGAGCAGAGAATGTCTAGGAGGCGTCTGGAGAATTTCCTTTTGCCAGGAAGCCAGGCAGCTGTCAAAGTCTAATGAGGTCAGTCCGTAGTCGAAGAGTCCACTGAGAGGGAGCGCCATTGGTAATTTGGGACGATTGGAACATAAAAAAAAATATTAGATTGTTTTTTAGATATTGAATAATCAAACATGATAGTCATACTTGTGAAAAAGACCATGCCAGGAAGGGAAGAGAGAACAGAAGGGTCTTTTGTAGACCCTTATTCCTTAGGCTCGTGGATTGAGCTGGTATCTAAGGCATCCAGTTTCTTTTTTTTTTTTTAATATATCAATATGCAATTTATTTATTTTTATTTTTTTATTTCGGCATATTATGGGGGTACAAATTTAAGGTTTCAAAAGTGCCCCCCCCACAAGTCTGAGTCTCGCATGCCATCCCCCCAGATGGTGCGCATCCTCACTCATTATGTATGTATATACCCGCCCCCTCTCCCTCCCCCCCTGCCCAATACCCTATTACTGTAGCACCTATGTGTCCACTTAGGTTTGCTCAGTTAATACCAGTTTGCTGTGAGTACATGTGGTGCTTGTTTTTCCATTCCTGGGATACTTCACTTAGTAGTATGGGTTCCAGCTCTAACCAGGAAAATATAAGATGTGCTATATCACCGTTGTTTCTTAGAGCTGAATACGTACTCCATGGTGTACATAGACCACATTTTATTAATCCATTCTTGGATTGATGGCACTTGGTTGGTTTCCACAGCCTTGCAATTATGAATTGTGCTGCTGTAAACATTCTGCACACCCAAAGAAACAGTCATGAAAGTAAACAGACAACCCACAGAATGGGAGAAAATTTTTGCATCCTACGCATCTGATAAGGGGCTGATAGCTAGAATCTACTTAGAACTCACGAAAATCAGCAAGAAAAAATCAAATAACCCTATTGAAAAGTGGGCAAAAGACTTGAACAGTTTTTAAACCTAACCCTAACCCTAACCCTAACCTCTGGGATGACTCTAATCTAAAAAAAAAAAAAAAAAAGAAATAAAAAAAAACTAATCTAAAAAAAAAAAAAAAAAAAAAATGGCCCTGTCCTCTAGGTAGCAGAGGCCTATGACATTTGAAAGAATAATTGGTTGGCTTTTCTGTGTTCAAGAATGGTGGCAGAAAGAAACCCCTTTCTGCTTCAAACTGCAGTTCCACACCAAAGCACCCCCACGCAAGGGGCTCTCATATGCACTCAATTTTCACCCAGTGGGTTCAGCGAGAACAAAAACACGGTAATTTGCTCTTGCGGATCTACGCAACCTTAATCCACCCTGTGCCAAGCCAATATACCTAGACCTGCTTTTCTTCCTACGGCATTTCCATGTGCCCCCAAATAATAATCTCGCCATATTTCTAGAACATTGAAACTTTTTTTATAAACACTCGGTGATGGTCTAGCTCAAATCACCTCTCTCAGGGACACATTTTGTATCATTCTGAATTCCTGACACTTCCGTAAGCACAGAACGTGGTATTGGCATCATTAGGAAAGGAATATTGTTTCATATCCCGCATGTGGATGGTTTAGAAGTCATCAAAATACTCCCAAGCTTCTCAGATATTGATTTATCACATACAACAGTGCCTGGTATACAGAGAGAATTCAATGACCATGTGGTGAGTGAATGAATGAACGCATGAACGAATGAATTTGAGAAGGCAGGGCTCGGAAAATGGACATCTTCCCTAAATGAGACCTTAATGAGATTTCAAAGAGTAACAAGTAAACAGTTCCGGGCGCTTTTCCTGTGGCCGGCCATTCTGAAAAAAATCCATCTGATAATTTAAATTTAATTGTTGAAACCGTATTCCTTCTGCCTAGCTATAATTCTGTGTTCCTTTAACAGATCTCTCTCTACCCCCTCCCACTTCCCTTCCCAGCACCTACTATCCTCTGTTCTACTTTTCAGTTCTGTAAGATTGATATTTTTCTTAGCAGTTCCAACTGCCTATAGCCCTGTAGGATGATTACAGTTAACAACAATATATAGTTCCAAATAGCTGGGAGGAGGAAGTCGGATGTTCTCAGCACGAGGAAATCATAAAGGCTTGAGATGACGGAAAAACCAATCACCCTGATCTGATTGCTGTACGTTGCACCTATCGAAACGCCACTGGGTAGCCCACAAATCTGCACAGGGATTGAGTGTGCAAATTAAACTTTTTTTTTTTTTTTTAATTAAAAATAAATACATTCATCGCTGGAAAAGGCAGCCACCTTGGAAGTTCCCATCTGTTCCGTGTAAGTCAAACGTGATTCTGGTTTCTCAAGACACACACACACACACACGCATAACAGAAGGAGCTCACACAATGTTTTGTTTTGTTTTTTTAATTTTAATTTTAATGCATTAGCGTCCGCCCGCGTGTGACGATAACACAGCAGAATGCATAGCGGAATTGCATAGTGAACTCACACCCGGAGCCAGCGAACCACTGCCCACCAACACGAGTTCCGGGGATATGCCCCAAACACTCATTTTTTTTCCAGAATCCACTCTCTCAGGTCTGTTAGATGCACGCTTCTCCTTTCCAGCGCCGTAGCACAACTGGTCGGCTTTATTCCCCCCGGACATCGTACGGTGTCACCCTGATGGTTGACTCCCAGCTCCCCTGAGCTTGTATCTGTATGGCTATTTTATTACAAATCATCACGCACCACGCTGCCAAGCCGAGACTGCAGCTTCTTGACGACACCCGGATAGAAAGAGAAACGACGTCTCCCTAACCCACGCCTGGCACAAGCAAACGCCACCAACAATGCCGTAACGCACACAGACGCCACTCCCCAAAAGCTAAAACTGCTGCAGGTGACATAAAAGCAAACACCCTTTATCCACCAAGTTAAAGCACTCCAGGCGCCTTCCAATCCCACCTCTAATTCACGCCTTTCTTTCTTCCCCCTGCAGCTCGCGCGATGATAAGCAAACCTCTCAAACGTTCCCAAACCGCCTTTTTCTCCTTGTCTTTATGACGACGCTCGTTTTTAAACAATAACTGTCGTGGCCACTGACAACCGCCCAGGGGAACACCCGGTGTTTTGTCCGTGCAACAAATGAGGATATTCCCAAAGACGGAGGGTTTCTCTCGGGGTAAAGCGTCTTGCCTCGTGAAACTGAGAATTCTCCCGGAGGTTCTGAGCGGACGTGGCTTTGAAGAGAACAGCGACTCAATAAGTTACTGAGAACTGAGTAGTGAGTGGTTCAGACAGCACCCGAGAACTGTCTTAAGACTGACTGACTGGGCCGGGGCGCGGTGGCTCACGCCTGTCATCCTAGCACTCTGGGTGGCCGAGACGAGTGGATCGTTTGAGTGCAGGAGTTCGAGACCAGCCTGAGCAAGAGTGAGAATGCATTCTCTACTAAAAGATAGAAAGAAATTAGCCAGACAACTAAAAATATATAGAAAAAATTAGCCGGGCACGGTGGTGGCGCGTGCCTGTAGTCCCAGCTACTTGGGAGGCTGAGGCAGGAGGATCGCTTGAGGCCAGGAGTTGGAGGTTGCTGTGAGCGAGGCTGACGCCACGGCACTCACTCTAGCCTGGGCAACAAAGCGAGACTCTGTCCCATCAAAAAAAAAAAAAAAAAAAAAGTGACTGACTGCACAGAGTAGCTCTAAGTCCTGTCATTGCAAGAAGGTGGTTGCTATACATCGTTCTGCGTGAACCCTCGATTCTTCTAAACCAGGAAGCAAATGATTCTAGAAGAGGTGAAGACCCCCCTCCCCCAACACCCGACCAAAGCCACCCGAAATCCTTCTTCCAAACGTCCCTGGCAAACGTCCCAAGTAGGATTTCCGGCAACGGCACCCGGGAAGTTAGGATTTAAAGCGGTGAGACAACAGCTACGGGGGTTCTGAGCTGATCCTTTGCAAAAATCTTAAATGACAAACTCAAAGACACCTCATCGCCCTGAAGAAAACAAGCCTGGCACCCTCGAAACGCGGACGCCGGCGTTAGGAGCTTAGCGACGGAAGGGAATTTGCAGGGAAGCTGAGCCGGATCCAGGAGACAGCTGGTCGCCCCCTACGAGGCAGCCGGTCCACCGAGCTTCTAGCCAGAGGCCCTCCGAGCAACCGCAGAGGCCATCAGCCAGGGGCTACTAAAGCTTTATTCCCGAGTGCTCGGGCGCTCTTTTGCCGACAAGGGTACAACAAGCGCTGGCCTCTCAGGGAAGCCCAGGGGGCATTGCTGCCTTGCACCTGCAGTGGGGGGAGGTCCAAGCGCAGGGCTTCGTGGGAGGCACTGGAGCTGGTCGACCACACACGGAGGCACGAGGTTCCACATCAGAGAGGACTGGTTGCAGGAGACGTCCCGGGAGCCGTCTCCCCGCACGCCCCGGCAGGTGCACCACGGGGCTCACTGCAGGAAGCGGTCCAGCTTCTCCTGGATGCGGGCGAAGGCGTCCTTGCCCATGTAGTCTATGTGCCCTTCCTCCCACTTCCTCCGCTGCTCCTCCGCGCTCGGCACCCTCACCTTCGCCTCGATGGAGATCTCGGACACCGACACCGCCAGGGCCACCTGCGGGGAGACACGGCATCGGGACCCGGCTTCATTGATTTATTTATTTATGAGGCACGCTCTCGCTCTGTCGCCCGGGCTAGAGCGAGTGCCGCGGCGTCAGCCTCGCTCGCAGCAGCCTCCCAACTCCCGGCCTCAAGCGATCCTCCTTCCTGCCTCAGCCTCCTCCCTCCCGAGCAGCTGGGACTACGGCGTGCGCCACCACCTACCACGCTGGCTCACTTTTTCTTTATAATAGTATCTATGTACTAATATTTTTTTTCTTTTTTTTTTACTGTGGTCATTTCTTTCATTTTTTAGTAGAGAGGGGTCGCTCTGCTCAAGCTGGTTTCGAACTCCCGAAATGAGGTAATCTCATCCGCCCCAGCCTCCGAACGAGTAGCTGGGGTGACGAGCGTGAGCCACTGTGCTAGTGGGACAATGGGTGTTGGAAGCTGTGCGTCACCCGGGACGACGGCCACACAGTCCTACATGTCGGGCTCTTGCTAAAATACACACTCTGTTCTTGAGGGAGACGGTGCTGATCTTAGCACGTTTCTTTTAATAAACACACACTAAAGATTTAACGTAATATGTCACAGAGATTTTTTTTTTTTTTTGCCATGCAATTTTTTTTCTTTTGGAGAATTTTATAAAAAGGAAATTGTGCATGTGTTCACTTTCCCAAGAATTGCTTTATTTCTAAACATCTTACACAAACACCCACACACGTTCCGATTTAATACCTCCAAGCCGCCACACCTCTGTGGTTGTATTAACCGTAATAACCAAGAGCAGTTTGCATGAAGAAAATGTTCACCCTCACGTAAATAAGCCATGATAACTAATAATTTGGACGCCTCGCACAATCATTTCAGTAGCAATTCGAGTAATTTTCTGCTTTTGAAGGCACACTTTCTGTCTTCTTAAGGGGTAAATGTGAGAAAATATATAGATACGCAAGTGTGTGAATTCAAACAGACACACATGCACACCTTGCTTCTGTTTGAGAGTCACATGGGTCACCAAAAACAATAAATAGCTCTGCTCAAATACTTCTTACCAAGAGCTAGAAAAAGACTTTTTAAAAATGTTGTGGGTGGTATCAATAACAGACATGCACACATGTATATGGTATCTGTCTACCTATCTATCTAGATGGATAGATGGGTAGCCAGAGATATCAATGATAGATAGATACATGGGTAGATTGATAGGCAGATAGATAGATAGATGACAGACACAGAGGTAAAAACAGAGCCAATTGACAGGTAGAGGTAGATAGATGATGTATAGAGATAGACATACACAAAGATAAATTATGGTCTTTATGCCACTGGGGCATGTGGTACTTTCTATTCTAGTTATTTGTCACAGTATTTTTTACAAGGTTTTGCACACAAGGTTCTGTTTTCTTTAGTCATTCTCATGCATTTTATTCAAAGTCAGCCACACCATTAATCAAAGAGATAGCAAGAATTAAAAAAAAAAAAAAAAAAAGGTCCACTCCAGGGTACCTTATCATTTCTCCCCTCAAAGAGCGCTTGGATTTATATCCATTAGGTTCCTGAGGATTAAATCCTTCCAGAATTAGCAGGACCCATAATGCCCAACCCCGTAATAGTTTGCAGGACCAAATTGCACGGTGACTGCAACAGCCGTGGTAACAAGAGAGGAGCATCCCAGCGAACACAAACTCCTTTCGTTGTATGAAGTAAGGTATCGTACAAGATGCTAAACAAGGATCCTCTGTAGGGCAGTGGAGATACACAAGAGAAGAAGGTCAAAGTGCTCCCATTTAGCAAACAAATGACTGACATGTTTATGAGCCAGGCACTAATGAGGGTTTGTAATCTATCACCCCCTCTTTTCCAGTTCTTTGAGGCCGGCGATCTGGTCTCCATGTCCTGGATGCTCAGAAAAAGTAGCAAACTCCCCTGAGATCCCAAACCTGTCACACGGCTGAGCTGCCAAAGGGAGGTCTGCCCAACCTAGTGTCTACGCCACCCACTGATATCCACGGATTTGATTCCTAGGGCTTCAGAATCACTATGCAAAAGTGCTCGTCATGCTGAATGGATGAACTCACATGCTATCACAAGCGGAGTTTCGGGGGAAACACTGACACTAACCGCTCTAGAAATGAATTCGAAACACGGCGTGCATTTGGCATGTACGAGATTAACCAGGTAACAATGAGGAAAAGCGTTCGTTTTCTCCAAGGGTGAGTGCTAGAGCAAGCATTTAGTGAATGGAAATATTTATAACACACCAGATCACATTCTAAATACATGTGCAACACTAATCTTCAGTCTAGCCCCAACACCTAGCTCTAGAGCTATACTTGCCGTTACTTAAAGACCAAAAGGTGTTATCAGATCACGCTTAGAAAAAAGAAAAAGCTGCCAATTACGTTTGTTAAATGCATCAACAGAGAGAATGCAAGTTAAGATGAGAAGATCTGTAAAAGGAAGGGACAGAGAGGAACGCATCTTTCATCCTTAAAGAAGAAATCATTTGCGTGTTCGATTTGGATTACAATGTTCATCCCCAAATTTTCCAGCTTTTATTTTCTTTCGTTTCAGAAAGTGGGTGCTTGTGGGTTAATTTCCATAGCCGTCTCTGCTTCCCGTCAACGAACGTTTGCAGAACGGCTTTTAGAGAGGGAAAGAACACGCAGACCAGAGTCGAAGACGGGAAGGAGAGTCCACCAACCACCCCGAGCAAACACGAGACAGAAGACAGGCGCATCGGGAGCACGAGGAAAGGTGGGCAGACTCTTGTCTCAACACGACGAGGCTGAACATAGAGGTAACAGCTCATGTGAGCAGGTGGCTGGCCATAGCGGTGGCCACTCCGTCAGACAAGGCAAAGAGTTTGGGTACTACCTCCAAACCATCCTGGGGACCGGGGTCCCTGGTGAACTCAGCAGAGCGCTCCTGGCTGGCGTCCAAGGTCTTCTCGTACGGGCCACTTTCAGCCTTATTCTCTGGCTGCTAGAAACACAACCATTCCAACGTTAGTCTGCAGTGGGCTGCCGGCAACTGTAGTCTTAACCTAAGTGACAGGGAACGTTTAATCCTGGGGAAAATCGGGTCAAACAAGAGAGCTGCCCTCAATACTCTTTCCTGGAAAGGCGAAACACGCTGAACTCTACATCTTCTCGGTTTCCCTGGGTGACCCACAGTGTCTTACACAGGATGAGATGCTGCAAGTTCTTCTGTGAGTAACTTTTCAGAGAGGGACTCGACTACTTTATACCAAATGCCTACGCAGAAGCATTTCAGTAAGATAGTCTCTCACTAAAAAGAAGAGTGTCTATCTATAGAGGCAGTCTTCTGGTCATATTTGGTCATTAAGAAGCTCAGATTCATAAGGGTAAGCTTAGGGGAAAAAAAGGAATTCAAATAAAATTCATATTCCTTAAATACTGATTTTTGACACAAGTGCATGTTCCTGCCAAAAAAAAAAAAAATTTTTTTTTAAATTAAGGGAGACATAGATGCTGTCTTGATGTTGTACCTGTTTTCTGATCCTTGTTGAAGCATGGTGGAAGAGAATGAACAAATGACCAACAGGTATATAATAACAAAGAGGGAAATAAGTTTGAATAGCCTGACAGATTCCTTATCCTCCGGATTAATAGAGAAATAGACTAATCATGGTACAATGTATTCCAGGCTGAAAAAAAAAAAAAAAAAAAACCAAAAAACTATTTGTAAACTATTCATATAGGAGGAATAAAAAAACATGTGGCGCCCTGTTTGGCATGTTGTGGGCATAGACACCCTAAAATAACAAGGAACAAGAGAGCGAGGACGTGTGGAAATAGAATAAATGAGGTATACCGAGGCGGTCTGAGTCTCTGTGAGGTCTGCAAATTGAGGGTAGGGCGGTGACAGGGGGTCACACGTTGTCCCAGGAGAGGTCCCAGTTTCAGGGCAACCTACCGTCTGTCACAAAGAAAAAGAGCAAAGGCAAGTTAGGTTAAACCTTCACGCTATAAATAAGTGCAGCGTCGTCGAAAACACCCAACCTGTTTTTCTTCTGTCTCCTGGGAGCACATCCGGCTTGACCACTAGAGGTCTTGGGCAGAGTGACTCGCTCACTCACACCTGTCTCCACTTCTTCTTTTGCTTCCTGGGCTCACACCCTGCTGCAGTTCACAGACTCCCTGCACCCAGGCAGGGCTACACGACGTACTGTCACCAAGGGGGCTGATCAGCTGTGATGTATGTCGCCTCCGGGCTGGGCAGACGGCAGCAATGTACTCTTTTTGACTCTCTCTGCTTCTACCAGTTGGACGAGGAATAAGACCCCTCCACCCTGTCTTAAAAGGAGTCCCACAAGGAAATAAAACTCAGCCCAAAATGAATTAGGTGATGATTTTCCCAGCTCTCCCAAAGATGGTACATGCCTAACACATACATATGTGCAAAGGAGATGACTTAATGTATTACGCACACGCACAGTGGCTGCCTTCAGCTTGCAGGGCATAATCCTCCCACCCAGGGAGTCTGAGCTTAGAAGGGCCATCCTAGAAGAAGGCAGAACCTAACACTTGCAGGGTCCCTTGGAGACAGCATGGAGCAGAGCACGCCTTGGCCACCCCAGCCGGCTGCCTGCAACACAAACACGAAACAAACTTTTCCTTCCCTGAGGGCTGTTTGTTGCGGCAGCTAGCATGCCCTGACAAACCCAAGGCGAAAAAACGCCAGGCCTGTGTCCAAAAGCTGGGGTCCCTAAAAGGTCCCGAAGCAGTTCACCTAATCTGTGTCCGTGAGGGAGAGAAGAGAACGCTGATATCCTGTGGTTTCTCACCACAAACACGCTGCAGAATTCTTGAGGGCATAGGGGGTCAGAGCTCAACTCCTAAGCTCAAAAGATCCTCCTGTCACCGCCTCCCTGAGTGCTAGGATTACAGGCGTGAGCCACCGCGCCTGCCCGGCCACTCATAAGCTTCTTAAACCTTACTCCTTTTAATCCTGACAGCCCTGAGAGGGAGAGAGTTTGATCCTTCCTCCTGCTGCTGCAAAGTTTAATCTGCAGAGAGAGGTCCATCTCGAATATATCAGAGCTACAAGTGAGAGAGAACGGGGGAATTTGAGCACACGCCTCTCTGACTGCCAAGCCTTACTTTTGATGCCTGTGCCATATGCACACCATTAACACATGGTTTGGAAAACACACACACAAAAAAAAAAAAAAAACTTGGGAAAAAATGATGAATGACATAACTGTATTAGCATCATAAACATATGACTCCCATTAAAAATTGATACTTTCTTTCTCCAATCAGAGTTTGTAGAGGGACACCCTAGATTCCAATGCTGACACTTACAGGGTCAAGGACCTGGAGGCATTATCTATCCTCTCCAAGTCTCGCTTTCTTTACTAACATGTCGAACAAGAATTTGTCGTGATGCATACATGAAGCACTTAAGCCGGGCCAACAGCGTAAGTGCTCAAAAAAAAAAGGATTAGCTGAATCAGCTCAGGGAAAATATCACTCTCTTTCTGTCACCTAATTTCTCTCAACAAAGAACACAGAAATAAATTCCATGCGGCCAATCGGGAAACGTAATCCTTCCTCGGAAGGGATTTAACTCAGGGTTTTACGTTCGGTTACGAAGGATGGAATAATGACACAACGGTCCAGCCTGTCTTCTGGGGAGCTGTTGTAATCTTACACATTTAACTTAGCCAGGAAGAGAGGTTCAGTCAACCCCTGCTAATATTTCTAATCAAGACCCATGGGCTTGCTTACAAACAACGTTAACAACCGAAATATAAACCAAAATATATATATATAAATAAACACCCCCGTTATTCTTCCTGCTTAACAAGTAAAGATGTCCTTCTGTATGTACCATGCAGAGAGAAATTCTAAGATGAAAATATAACAATAGCGCCAGGCCAAGTTGGCTTTTAAGATCATTTTTGGCAAGCCCGTGAATTCATGAATATCAAATGTGACTTTTTTTTTTTTTTTTTACAAACTGCATTTATTTTTATCCTTAGGTAATAACTATTCCACGGATTCATCCCCTAAAAGCCTGACTCACGGACTGGGTCACCTTGAGAGCCGAGAATCTGGAATTGGAGATGATCCCGAAATGAATTCTTAGCCCTTCGGGGAGAGAGAGAGAGAGAGAGAGAGAGAGAGCGAGCATCTGAGGCAAGTGGAGAAGCTTCAAAAGAAAACCCCGCAGCCTGGGAAGAGGGCAGCTCAGAGCGGACACCACTAAGCTGGACTATCAGAATAGATACACACAGGACACAAAATGCTCTCATCCACGACCCAAGCAGGTAAATTTAGCGTGAATAAGAAGGAAGCAATCTCTTGCATTACGGGCTACAAAGTTGTGAAAAGTTATCACTGTCGGAAGTGACAAATGCTAAAAAATATAAATAATATACAAATCAGGTCAGGGACTGACATGAGATTTTCCAACCTTCAGCGATGAAAGAAGCTGCTTATTTCACACTAAAGTCTCCTGCCAAAAACAACTAAAAAGGCTGGACCTCCTAAAAAAATATATATGTATATATATTTTTTTAAAAGCCCATCAGAGTGCTATCAAGGCAGAAAGAAATGAAGAGTCAAGCTATCAGAGACAAACAGGAAAAGTGAGCCTGACATTTGGTTCTGTGTTTCTGCTCAAGGCAAATAAATAAAAGGCTGGAAAGGAGTGCTGAGCTTCTAGCCATGCTAAGAGGCTGAGGAACCCGTAATGGGTAAGAAGGTTATCAAGGATGAAGCTTGATGAAAGCACCACAAGCTTTCTTTTGAGACTTCACTGATAGGAGAATCAGAAACAGAGTAGTCCTCATTCTGGCAGGGCAGAGGCAATATATGGATCCTAAACATCTGTACCCCTGTAATATTCTGAAAAAAAAAAAAGAAAAAGAAAAAAAAAGAAAAGACATAGAGTAGCCCTCATAAACATTGAAGCTGCCCTTCAGGTCAACCTTAGATGGGGTCTAGACAAAGCACCTCAATAAACACTTCCTTCCTGGAAAGAGAACATCCTCCCTTAGGTGATGATATTATGATTCAGACCTTCAAATTATCTTTACACGTTTTTTTTTTTTTTTAAAAACATATACAATGTCTGGCTTTCAGTTGAAAAGCACATAACGTTCATACAAGAAGACAAGATCAAATGAGTGGATATCAATACCAAATGGAATAGAAGAAAGAAAACAAAACCGACGGGAAACCCAGATATAATTGATCAGACATGAATTGAATGGGAGACATACTTTAAATGAGATGAGGGAAAAGAGAGAGAATTTCAATGCCGTATGGAGACTCCACTCACAAAAATCTGATGTTTATTTGAACTAAAAACTCAATAACAGCAGCTAAGGGCTTTCGATGTGGTTTAATGGCTGACTAGACATGGTTTTGACGTGGTTTAATGACTGATTAGACATGGCGAAAGAGAAGATCAATTAAGTGGAAGATAGGTCAGTAGACTGAAGCATAGCTTCTCTGGGAGGGTGTTCTCGATGCGAAATAATGCCATAATTTGCTTACAGACCCACTGGGTATGGACATTGTGGGTTGTTTCCAGTTTGGGGCTATTATAATACAGATCAATTGGTATTTGTCTTTGTACGGTATATGTTTTCATTTCTCTTGAGTAAATATTTAAGAGCGAATGGCTTGAATCACATAGTAGGTGTATGTTTAACAATTTAAGAAATTATCAGTTTTTCACTTGCAGATAATGCAATTTTGCACATAGATAGCCAAGAGAAATCCAGGCAGTATCTTAAATTATTAATATGTAACATTTAGCAACAGCTGCTGGACTCAAAACTCAATGTATTTCTCTGTATGTGTATCAAACAGCAGGGGAATCAATCTTTAAAAACGATGCTACTTAACAATAGCCCTGCAAA